TTGAAAATTGTTCATTTGTAAGCTTTTATGCGAGACTGGTGATGTAATTTGGTGACAATAGTACTACCAAACCATAGTTGTATAACATTTTTTTTTTTTTTTTTTTTTTTTGGGTACGAGCAATATTTCCAAGTTGGGCATTGAAAATTGTTCATTTGTAAGCTTTTATGCGAGACTGGTGATGTAATTTGGTGACAATAGTACTACCAAACCATAGTTGTATAACATTTTTTTTTTTTTTTTTTTTGGGTACGAGCAATATTTCCAAGTTGGGCATTGAAAATTGTTCATTTGTAAGCTTTTATGCGAGACTGGTGATGTAATTTGGTGACAATAGTACTACCAAACCATAGTTGTATAACATTTTTTTTTTTTTTTTTTTTGGGTACGAGCAATATTTCCAAGTTGGGCATTGAAAATTGTTCATTTGTAAGCTTTTATGCGAGACTGGTGATGTAATTTGGTGACAATAGTACTACCAAACCATAGTTGTATAACATTTTTTTTTTTTTTTTTTTTGGGTACGAGCAATATTTCCAAGTTGGGCATTGAAAATTGTTCATTTGTAAGCTTTTATGCGAGACTGGTGATGTAATTTGGTGACAATAGTACTACCAAACCATAGTTGTATAACATTTTTTTTTTTTTTGTAATAATCATGGTAGTCTTTTCTTTTATCAGCTTTTAATATTAATCATGTGAATAGGTGATAATTGGCCTTGAATTCAAACTTTGAGCGCAAAAAGTAAAAGGGCAAGGTTTAATTAGTGGTGGACTGCAATTTATTGACAAGGGATAATAATAATATATATGTTAGGACATATACATTATATATTTTGGTGTTTTTATGTAGGCCGATTCAAAAGGAATATCAAAGACAGATTATTAGGAGATATATAAGACGTGAAAATAAATTGGACCACCACCTCACAAAAAAAAAAAGCGCACTAATCTTTATGCTGCAAAATAATTGAGTGGTCCTTCATTGACTTGGCTGTAAATGTATTTCAATTCGTATGTCTTCATGCTTCTTTTATGCTGCTAATGAATGTGTCCAAGCCATAGTAAAGATGTGTAAAATTCGGTTCTCTATCTTTATCTTTATGGATAACTAAACGACAATACATTTTTAATATTGCGTGAAAAAAGCCAGTTTGTAGATAAATTAACAACGATATGTAAAGGAAAACCAAACAACAAAAGACTGAAGATAAAATATTTTTTTGTTTTTTTTTTAATTTTTGTCGGATAAGATTTTGGAGAAAAGAATCACATCGTAGCCAATTAGTCACATGAGAGTATACCGAGGGAATATTATTTGAAATGCGTAACTGGATTATGCTGTATATCTTTCTTCTTTATTCCTTATTTTTACCCTTTTTGAAACCTTTTTTCATCAGCCGTAGGACTACTATTAGGTAAGATATTGATGTTGAAGATATCAAGATAACTTCTAATTGAAAATCAATGGGCACAGCCATCTCGAGAGAACGAACATATATAATAATATAACAAAATTTTTAAGACACATATTCTCAACTTAGTAGTTTTCTTTTGTTACATTTTCGTAGAAAAAAAAATATTTCCATAAATACGAGCTAAAAGAAGAAATTTTATTGCACGTAAGATACAATTTTGAACGGTTAAATTATAACAAAATCATATTAAATTAAGAAAAATGTGAATGATCTAAATATTATAAAACAATATCGTATACCACTAGAGTATTTTCTTTCATGCATACCATAAATTCTCCCTCAAACCATAACATGATTTTATTTATTTATTTATCTACCTACCTTGAACTGGGGGTGGAGTTGCAACAATGAATTTAATGAGGGATTTCGAGAGAAGCAAAAGAGAGTGGTGAATTTACCATACCATCCTTTGTATTATGGAGTCGATCGAAGACAGTCCATTATCCACATGTCATGGACAAAGCCCTATACAACGACACAAAATAGCCTAATTAATTGGTGAAAGAAAAGGCCTTATTCAACGAGAATCCAATGGAAATAGACTGCCCATATCTCCTCTTCTTTTGTTCTTTAATCTCTCTCTATCTCTCGTGTTCTTTTTGAGAATATGGTGTGGACTACCCAGAAACTGCTTTTGCCTATTCTGTCCCTTTGCATCATTAATTATCCTTCCCTTCAAAGTTTAGATTTTTCATGGCCAATATTAATTCCACTATATCTTGTATTAATTTCTCTCTAGAAAAAGAACTTCCCCAAAGGAAAGTTGTCTATTCACATTGAGATGAACAATAATACTAATAATAATAATATATAAACACAAGGATCGTGATTCCTCGCCCAATTATGTGACCAATTTGGGCAAACCAGATGCATTTGAGGAAAATGAAAGGGCTTGGTCGTTTTGGACATTGTGCTCTCTCTCTCTCTCTCTCTCTCTCTCTCTCTCTCTCTCTCTCTCTCTCTCTCTCTCTCTCTCTCTCTCTCTCCACAAACCACCCATTTGCCATATGAAAGTAACGTTGTTATATGCAAACGATAGATATGGAGAGATCTTTTGATAACGCTATTATTCCCTAAGCACCTTTCATAGCATCTCGAGGAATCACACATGCCCTGAAATTACTTATTGTAGAATTGGATTATTGTGAGTATAAAGAGGATGCTCGAAATTATGAGACGTTTAGTTCATAGATTAAAAACATGTGATTAGAATTATTTTTTATTTATGTGTATTTTTTTATGAAAAAAAATACTATAACGAACCACGAATCATGATTCGAATTAAGTAACGAATCCCTAACCAAACAACCTCTAAACTTGAGAAAAACGACGTAAAGTTGATTTAGTCGGGAACAACACAAGATTTGGTAGCGTTATCAATATATATGTCGTGACGCTCGCAAACGTGAAAGTTATGTGGTACTTATGAGCCTCAAATTCTTTTTTCTCAGTAGCCTAGTACTACTGCTGATAAATAGTCACAGAGATTACGTGAGAATGGTTTGAAAAAGAGCGATAGAAAGAGCCTGTGGCGGGTCTGTGACAGAGCAACCCATTTTATCAATTTATTGTGTGATTTATAACTCTGACCAAAGGGTGATTTGATCAGTGAAAAAACCTGATAAACTAAAAAGTTTCTAGTGGATAATCACTAGTTTAGTTGGGTATCAAAAGCATATCATGATGTAGAGACTAGAAGCAGTTTAAAATAAAATAAAATAAAGCAAAGCTAATTCGCAACAAATAATTTTTTTTTTTTAAAAAGCTCAAAATTTCAATCATTTAAAGTTAGCTCCTTCATCAAGCAATTCTTCATCCCCCAACAACCATTGGGTGTTTTTCCTTAATTAAAAAACAGGAGGCCGTACTATCTAACTGTTCAATTTATTGCATTTGCACCTGCTTAAACACATAAACAGTCCTTGTACTACTTACATTACTATTTAATTATTTATAGTCAATTCTCAGGCATTGGAGGACCTTGATTTATTGTTATGTTTTGACAACATTATTACTTTCTAAGTTTTGGACATATTTTCATTTCCCCCATTTTTTCTTTTTTCTCTTGGATCTTATCTTTATTAAATCCAGCTTATGAATCTGAATACTGATACCTTTTTTCTTGTATACCTATTAATTAATGATATGTAGGTGGTCAAAGTTCTGAATTCCCAGAAATTCCCATCTCTCTCTCTCTCTCTCTCTCTCTCTCTCTCTCTCTCTCTCTCTCTCTCTCTCTTTCTCTCTGGTTTTTAAGGACAGGACCCCATGCTTAGAGGAGTCTAGAGAGTTAAGACACAAAGACAAGTCACCCCACAAAAACAAGATTAGTGACTTCATCGATACGAAAAAAATACCAAAACAAACCCAGAAAGTGGTTATTGGTGGTAGACATTTAGTTTCACTTCCGTCATCATCTCAATTAATTTAATACATTAAAATATGGTCATGAACTTCGATATGCTTCCCTTAAAAGGAAAGTGATCCTTTAAAATATTAATACTAAAAAGGCAGAGTTCAGACATATTTAATTAATCAACTCGTCTATCTTAATCAGTGTACCATAAAACTTTGTATTAAAATCTTATTACATTATCTATTTGGGATTTATCCTCCTATCCTACCATCCAAACTTCCAGAGTATCAAGAAAAGGTGACACAACACATGGACCTAGATCGAGTGGTTCTTGCCTCAGCATGGAGAATCATAATAATATTTTTTTTAAAAAGGAAAAAAAAAAAAGAAGAAAATCCCATGATAGGATTGCTTTGGAAATATTAGTTAGATCACAAACATTGAACAATAACAAAAGAATTATAAAATAAATATGTCCATACCAACAGCATACCCATTTGTAAATTATACAAGTTTTGCTTAAAATAGTGGGTAAAGTACGCAAAGACTAATCATAGTAAAGGCATTATATTATAATGATAAGAATTGTTCTATTAATTAATTAAAATATGGTGTAAGATCTCTTGGATCAGCTTTCATTCCCATAAACTAAAGGAAAAGTATTGTGTAAAGCTAGTTGGGATAAATCAGAATAATGTTTGCAACCACCCCCATTAGAAGCAGCAACACTTTCTGCTTCTTTCTCTCAGACAAACACAACACCAAGGAGCGGCGGGCAAAAAAAAATATAGAAATCATTTCTGATAAGACGTTAGATTCAGAAATTTTCATTCCTCCCTCCGACTGAAAGTTGAGCCAAAAAAAAAACCCGGAAAAAAGAAAACATGCACTGCTAATTCGAAGCAAATTATTACTAACAAGGGAATAAAATAAAAAATAAAAAGATGCTCTCTTTTTCATTTTTTCTTCTTCTCTTCTCTCAAATTTCCTGGTCCAGATTAGAAAGAAAACTAGTAAAACAGTCCGAGTTCAACATGATAATTGAACTCCCAAGACCGGCGTCCCCCGAGCAACAAAATATCAAATCAAAGAGATTAATTATGAGAAAATTAAAAACTAGATACGCAAAATTAAGTTTTTTTTTTTTTTTTCTCTTTCTTTTGGGGTTGCATCATTCAATCGCTCGCATGTTATATCCTCAACAAAGTAACGATCTCATTAATTAACACTAAACAAAGAAAGAAAAAAAAAGGAAAGAAGAGTAAATTAAGAAACAACTAAAATTTAATACCAAAGTCTCTTACTCTATCTAATTAACATGACCTTATTAATTTTATCTCCAAAAGGATCAAGATGAAGATGAAGACCCATTAGTCGATACATGATGTCCCGCTCCACCATCACCATGGTGATGACGGTGATCTTGATCGTAGTGGTTTGGATCATCCTCCATGTTGTCGTTGTCGTCGTCGTCGCCATCGCCGTCGCCTTTGGTGGTGTCGTTGCTGTTATTGCCATTAATACTGTTGTTGTTGTTGTTGTTGTGGGTTTGCTCCAAAATACTGTTCTGACCTCCATTAACACTGTTATTATTGTTATTGTGATCCTTCTTCGCAAAAGTGTTCTTATTATTGTGCATCCAAACTTTGAGAACTCCCTTGTCGACTCCGATTTCGCCGCAAAACTCCCGGACAAGCTCCTCATCCCGTTTCTGCATCTTCCACCCGACTTTCTCCGCGAATTGGCACATCTTCTCCTTCTGATCCTGGCTGAATTTCGTCCGGAATCGCTTCCGGCTGCTCGAGCTCGGCGTAATGACGCCAGGAGGAGCAGCCACCACAGCAGCAGCAGCACCCGTGGGTCCCACTCCTGCGAGATGATTATGGTTATGGTTATCTTGGGGCGCGGCTCCTCCAGTGGAGAGAGCTAGGAGCATGTGGGGAGCGGAGGGGTAGTAGGAAGAGGAAATCGGCGGTGGAGAGGCGGAATTGGGGCTGCGGTTGGGTGGCGGCGGGGGGTGGTGACGGTGGTGGGGTTGGTATTCGATTACGTGAGTTGCGGCGGCTGCGGAGGAAGGGTTGGTGGTGGCGGTGGGGAGAGGATCGTCGGGGTCACGGCGGTGGAAGTTGCGGTGGCAGCCACAGGCGGAGGGCGTGGCCGCCGAGGCTGGCCGCGTGGTTCTTCAGACATTCTCTGTACGTCACCACGACGGCGTGGTGGTGGTGGTGGTGGTGGTGTTGGTGGTGGTGATTGTTGTGATGGGGGTGGTGGCGTTTCAGTACTCCGTTGCTGAACGACAAGGGCTTGGCGGATTGGATCCGGGTCGGAGTCTCGCTCTCGGCTTCTGGGGATTTTGTGGTGCCTGCAGCTGTGACGTTGGCGGTGGTGGCGGTGATTGTTGTAGAGGCTATTTCCATGGCTCAAACATCTAGGGTTCTTTAAAATAAAAAACAAAAAACAAAAAAAAAAAGTGTTTGCTTTTATGGGGTTGTTAGGATTATTAGAGGTCTTTTTGAGGATTATAAATATGACCAAGACCGTTCATAGAGAAAGAAGAAATGAGCTCTTAGAGATTAAGGAGAAAGTGTTTTGGGAAAGAAAAAGGTTAAAAAAAATGGTGGGTTTTTTTTTTTCTTTTTCAGTTTGACGAGGAGGATGAAGAGGAAGAAGGAGGAGGAGATGTTGTTGTTGTTGTTGTTGTTGTTGATGATGATGATGATGATGATGAGCAGTGATGATTGTTGATAATAAAAATCTTTGGTTTTGTGGTTGTCCTTCTTAACCACTTGGGTTTTTAACCCTGGTTCTAATCCATGGTTAAGTTTCTGACCTCACTTGGGGTTAGATGTTTGTGTTGTAATAAATATACCTCCCTTTAAGCTATGGGGCAGAGAATTTGACCCTCCCTGTGTGCTTAAGCCTTTAGGTGTTTTTCTACCACCACTACATATTACAATTTACACCTCCGGTATTTTGACTCTGCTTTACTTAAACCATAATTTAAAATAAAAATAAATAAAAAAACAAAAACAAAAAGGATTTTCGGTTTCAGGCAACTATGACTCGGTTAAAAAGGGACGAGTTGACTCGGTAGAGCCTTTATTGATAAATAGCAATTTCTAAGAGAAGAGAGCGATGTAATCACCAGCTGGAAGGGACTCTACAAATTTCTGAGTCATTGACTGTAACCCATCTTAATGTTGTCAAGTTGCAGGCCTGTACGCTTTTACAGTTTTAACTTTTTTTTTCTCCTTTTTTTTTTTCTTTCTCTTTTCAAATTTTATTTATATTTGTCAAAAAAAGATAACCATCCGTTTGAAGCACATCTCGTTTGTATTATTTCCTATCCGTTTGAAAACACGCAAATGCCCTTCACCAACAGTGTACCATACCCCTGTGCCCTTGGTAAAAGGAGTCCTTGGCTTCTGGTAAATTGGTCTTCTAACCACAGAGATGGGAATCTGTCGAAATTCTGGCCGTTTAATTCGTTAATTTAAATTTTTAATTCGAATTGAAATGTAATTTTATGTGAAAATTTTTTTATTGTAATAAAAAAATTAAATGTGATTATTTTTTTAAAATTTTTAACTAATAAAACTCAAATTTTAAATTTAAATTAGTAAAATAAACGAGACTTTAAGATATTTTTTAGCATCACAGCTCTTCTCAAAAAAAATTAAAGACTTGATTAGTTTGTTAATTTAAATTTTTAATTCGAATTGAGATGTAATTTTATATGAAAATTTTTTATTATAATAAAAAAATTAAATATAATTATTTTTAAAATTTTTTTACTATAATAAATTTTAAATTTTAAATTTAAATCAGTCAAATGATGGGAGCTTAAAAATATCTTTGTCCGCTTGAAAGAATTTTCGGCCGTTGAACGGATTTGTCTGAGAATCCCTTTTTTTTTATGTCAAATACAAAACGACATCGCTTTAAGTATTCTTCGTCTTTTTTTAATTGAGAAAAAGAGAGAGAGAGAGAGTATCCGCAAAATAACTGGCAGGGTGGTACTTTTTATCAGGACTAAAATAACCTCGGAATCCCTCAAGTATTACGCTTCCGTCCGTGTCCTGCCCAGTGCCCACGCCTGCGCTTTCAGACAATTGGAGACTAATGCATGAAGTACGAGCGGTTGTCGAACAAATAATCATAATTAACACGTTATTAAAGTGTCCTGTCGGATGACTGTGTTATAATTAAATTGTACGTGGCGACTGTTTGCGTTACAATTAGACATGCACGCCACGCCACGCCACGCCACGTGGCACTCCTTGTTCAGGTTAATTTTTTGGTTGGATTAAATAAATACTTGTCTTTTTTAGGCTTAGATTAATAAATACTTTGTCAGCCTTAAACAACCAATTAACGAAAAAAAAAAAAAAAAGCGGTAAGAAGGAGGTAATTTTAAGGTACGGTGCTGACCACGGTAACGGTGATAGACTTGGGGGTTTGCATTGCACTGACTTTGTTGTAAATTAACGTTATATTTTTTTTTCTTTTTTTCTTTTTCTTTTTCTTTGTTTTAAATTAATAATTCAAAGCAGTTTTGATTAAGCGGAATTTGGAGAGGCGATGACGTCATCGGACCAATCATGTTAGCAGGCAAAGGTTTAATCATGGAAGGGCGTGTAAGAACACAACCGTTTGCATTGAAACTCACAATCCTTGAATTTAATTATGAGAAGAATGGTAAGAGCTTTTTTGTGTGTGTTGCAGTGCCGTGTACTTTTAAGTGGTGACCTTTTTTTTTTCCCTTCTAATTTGACTGCTAAAAATTTGGCTTACTTTTACACTTACAACGCTTTCTTGGTAAAAATGAAAAATAAACCCCTCCTTTTTTAATAAAAATGTAAAAAGAAAAGAAAAAATATAGATATTTATTTTGTTGTAAAATTTATAGATATAAAATTTATATTTTATGACCACGTTTTATTTCACTAATTCAAATTTTATTATAATAAAAAAATTTTATAAACAGTCATATTTAATTTTTTTATTACAATAAAAAATTCTCACATAAATCACATATTAACTCGAATCAACGAATTAAACGAACCTTATATGTCTTCTAAATCCTCATATTTATGTCAGGTATATCTAAACAAATCAATCCTTCATTGATGGATATCGGATTCGGGCATAAATGCTACAATCTTATTGACATTAGTTTCTTTTTTTTTTCTAAGACAAAAAAATAATAATAATGATGGGGTTGGGGACCAATTTTTTTTTTTTTTTTTTTTTGCCTTTCATTTAAAGCTTGATTAGCTTACTTCTGAAAGTGGCTAATCCAAAAGTCTTGATGTTTAGCTCAACTAAGCCTCTTCCTTAGTATGTAATTAATACTTTCAAAAAGACTAAAAATAAGGTAACATGGGGACTAATGTTGGGGAAAAAGGGGATGTGTAAGTTGATTATGAATAGTCTAGACTGTTGGCGTGGACCAAGGAACAGTGTTGATGAAAATAGACCGGCATAACTTTTTGCTTTTGGAGTGCCTAGACTATATAATATATATATATACACACACACACACATATATTCATATTTTCTGACTTTGTTAATCAGATTTATTTGGTGGGAACCCCATGAGCCATGACCCTGCGACCCAAATTGGAGCTTTGAGAGCCGTATGTCCTCAACTTCTTGGGCTGTAGGTACAAGGACAGAGCACCTGATCACCACCTAAAAAAAATTTTTTTAAAAAATCTTTTTTCCCCATTGCAAGGATTCTATCTTGTTGTTTGACAATTACTTCAACCCTCTTTTAGAAATAAAAAATAAAAGTAATTACTTCAGCCCTCTTTTTAAAGAAGATTCATTTGGTAGAGTATGAAAAAATTAACTAGCGGCAGATTTATGTTTTTGATCATCAGATTTGTATTATAAATTATATATTTTGCTCCTTTTTTTTGGAGTTTCTCTGCTAGGATTAGAAAAATATACTACCGATGTTTTTTATTTTTCAGCCGTCAAATCTGTATTAAAAAATGTCCGTTGTGCATACTTATTCAATTTGATATGATTTTAAACATATCCAACGGTCAAAAATAATTAGTCTTACCGATACGATGGCTTCCCAAAAATGGTCATTTTTTATACTATTTAATATGATTTTAACTAGATTTAACGATAAAAAACTTGCATTACTACTAGTTGGATATCGTAGAAGGACGTTTTTAAACTAATAAATATAATTGTGTTTGATCGAAGATATCTTTTAATAATATGGTGAAAACTATGTCCTGCTCATATTTTACAATTGGTACTAGGATATGCATAAACTAATAGTACTTTTTTTTCCTGCTAAACATAAACTAATAGTACTTTATCAAAGGGGTTTTGTGTGCCAACAAAATGAAAAATCAAAGGGGATTTGTAGTGTAAATTAATACCAAGTTACTACTAATTATAACATTGAAAAGAGAATGCTTGTCTTTGTGCTTTTTTTTCCCCCTCTACAGATCGGCAAGGTAGCTTAAGAATCCAATAAAATAATATGGTCATGACTAAGGGGCAGTTTGTGATAGCATGTGTTTGTATTTTTAAGTAGCAGAAGAAAATAAGTATAAGTTGAGATTTTTAATTATTGTTTGAATAGTGCCTGTAAAAGGGTTTTTTTATTTAAGAAGAACTTTTGAACTTGTTTAGTAAAAAACTCAAAAGTACTTATTGCTATAAAAAATAATGTAATAAAAGGCTATAAATGAGATATTTAATTTATTGTTCACAAATAAAATATTAAAAATGTAAATAAAAAATATTTTTTATATGCACCAAAGAGATGACTTGTTCTATAAGTGCTTAAAAAGCCAAAAATACTTTAAGGTTGTTCATCTAAATATGTTCAAAAGTAACTTTTAAATTAAATAAGTCAAAAATCACTTTTTTTTAAACCAATCCAAATGGACCCTAAATGCTTAAAAGTGCATTAAATTAATCGTAATAATGTGTTATAAGTCATTTGTCAAGTATAATGAATTACTTATGATCCTAATATGTTCCAAACAAAGGCAAATTATGCGTAACATATGTACCAAAATAAAGTATTATATTTGTACCAATCAAATTATATACTTTTTTTAAGAAAAAAGAGACAAACGCGTTCACTTCACTAACTCAAATTTGTTGATTCGAGTTACGAAAGTAGATTTGAGTTGTAAAAAATTTGAGTTTAGTTTGGACTTTGAGTTAAGTGTTTAGGAAGAGATTGATTTGACATTTAAAACTTGAGTTTTGTGTTGACTTGTACTAAAGCCAAACTCTAATTACAAAGAAGTGTCCTTTTATGCGGATGCAATCTGCACTGTAGAATTAAACTTGAGTAATGGGAAAACAAGGGGTGGGTGAAACTCACCAACTCGAGTTATTACTCGAATTTGAAATTCAAGTTGCGTTTAATGAACGCATAACTCGACCTAATTTCACACTCGAATTGGGCTTACTCAAGTGTGATATAGGAAGTGAACGGCCCCAAATACTTTTTAAAGTGTACGAATTTGAATTTTTACTCTTTATTTTTTATTAATATTTTTTAGCTAAATAATTATATTAACCGAAAAAAGTATTAATTAAGAATGAAGAGTAAAAATCTAAATTTACGCGCTTTATAAGATAAGTTGAGTAATTTACTTTTTTTTAACCCC